GTCGATTTTATCACCATGGTAAATTTCATATATTAAATTAGTATGGAGTAGATTTCAAGCATCTAGATGAGCATGACCGTAATATTGATCTTGGCAGCAAACTTGCAGTTTTACAACACAGAATAATCGCCCGCATGATTCCACTAGAAGTCCTGGACGATTTCAGTGAAATTCTAGCGAAGTGCAAAAAGTTTTCAAGAGATATGAAACCGCTATGCCTAAATTATGTCAACTGATCTATCTCCTGCCAACCCATTTCCTTCTACTGCATATACATAATTCTGTTAAGCTTTTCTTTAGGAAAGACAAATTTCCAAGGATCTTTTAGAGCATCCTGATTGAGATTAAATGATGTTGATTTTCTACCATAATAGTCATTCTTGTCCAGATGAAGCACCACCGAGCCAAACACAAATTGGTCTACTCCAACCTGCTTCCGCATAAGGTCTTGGAAGGATTCCACCCGAAGATCATTTACTGTAGTATGGATGTTGTCTTTGCAACGCAACACTTCCTGAGACAAAACTCCAACAGCTCCTCCCGGTTGCTTATGTTCAGAGTTTTCCCCAAGAATTCTTATTTTTTTTGCTTCGTGGCTGTTCAAGTTCTACCGTAGGACAAAGTATGTAAACCCTAGGAACTCCGAGCATTGTCGGTTGAAAGTGGAGCTAGTAGACAGCCACTTGCAACCCATTAGTTGAATGCCGATTAAGTTTAAAAATTTCATCTCCTAAAGTCACCTCTCTTTTCAAATATCACATGTGGATTGTAACGTTGAGTGCAGTGGGTCCAGCGGGTTTTATATCATAGTACCTCCAGATGTTTCATATATTGTATCCTATGATATTTTTAGGTTTCACTACTGAGAAGAAATTCCAGCCTCTTTTACGTTCTAGTGGCTCAAGAATAGGATTGAATTTGTTGTTCAGTAGCCATAGGTTAATTTGCAAGACATCTACAGGTAGAATAGAGACACCGCAGGGTTGTTGCAGCAGCTAGCTTAAGTCTTAAGCGTTTCTTGGCTTTGAACGTAACGTTGTCATCTTGCAAACCGTCGACTACTACAATTGCTCTGTCGTCTCCTTCACCATGTAGTGTTTGATCTCGATGAGTGGGTGTGCAATGAGGGGTCTACGCTGTTTTGCAATCCCAGACGTAACACTGTAGTTCAACTTTTCCCTGAGTGATGCTAGCTAGCTTGCATATTCACCGGTAGTAAATCGACAATGAGAATGACGGGAAAATTTTGATGATGAGGACGGTGTGGAAGGAGACGTAGAATCGTCGGTGAGTCCTGAGGTTCTTGGGGTAGTTTATCTATTAATTAGAGCCATTTCAAATCAATATACATTCAATTTGATTCGAAAATTATAATATTTGTGGTAACTCTACACCAAATAGTAAATGTAATATCCACTTTAAATAGACAATTATATATACAAAAATATAACAAAAAAATTAGGAGAGAAAAGTGCAACATATGTTCGTCTAAAAAATATATAACTCTAAAGTTGGATATGAAATTATATTGATAGCGTTTGGATTACATATGATATTTACGTCATATGTAACAGAATTTAGGTGAATATTTTAGTCATATATCATAAACTTAATATTAGCTTTCATACTAGTTTTAAGAATATTTAGGTCGGATCCTATGAAATTCTAGATAATTCGATAGTAAAGCTAAATGCCACTCATATTCTTTTGGCACTAGATAGTGTGATTTTTGTTGTCCGGTGTATGAAACATTTGCAGTTGTATTGTTAGTTGGCCAAAAGAAAATATACATCTTTTAGTACTCAGTTGCACTATTTTTGGTTATAATATAGATCGACTGTCATTATCACACTTATAAATCAATACACCTAACAAACAAAAAAGGTAAGTGATAATATTTATGTAGTCGTGTACCTATTTAATCCGATGGATTATGAACCATTAAAACCAAAAAAAAAATCTCAAAAGTATCTTCTACAGTAGAAAAGTTTTTCTACAGTTAGCTTGAATCTCTCAATATGCCATATCACCAATCGGATTGAATAATCTGCTCATGTCGCTCATTGAACCATCATATGAGAATATATAGACATGATAATCTCAAATATGTACACAATTGAATATTCATGACTATCTTTTAACAAGGAGTTCACATATCCATTTGGATTCGATATCATGTTATTATAGCTATTAAAAGGCGAATAATCACGATTGTTTCTTATATATTATCTGTTTGCCGCATGTATTCTACAAGTATTGGATCATTTGTGGTAGGGTGACTTGAGTGAATAAATAATCAAAATCATACTTTATAAAA